GAAGAAGTTATATGATAAGGGCTTACAAATAGAGTAGTGTATAAATATAGATGATTACGAATAAGAAGAAATTAATTGGGCGACAAAACAACTTAAAAATGGGAAGTCCCCGGCTGTAGATAATATTCCAATCCAACTATTCAAAGATACAGGGGAAGACATCTTGGCGAAACTAACACAATTATGCAATATGATCTGGAAAATAAAACAGTGAACAACAGATTTCCAACGCTCTATAATTTTCCATTACCAAAGAAAGGAGACAGCCGAGATTGTGCAAATAACAACACAATTGCATGAATACCGTGTGATTCAGTAAATCGGCAAAAGTCATCCCTCGGAAAAAAGGGATTTTAAAAATGGTGTTACTGTAAGCATATACTTTAAGATTTTCAAAAATAATTCACATTGAAAGAAACCTCATTTTCTATCTACTCTGGTATGTTGTGTAGATTGCATTACGTCGCGTAAGCGTTAGAGTAAAGCATATCCTAAGATCATACTCACAGAAAAAGATTTCCTTCGTTTTTAAACTCGTTTGAATGTTCCATATTATTTATATCATTGTGTCGGATATGTCACGAAAGAGTCACGTCTAACTAGTTTTGCATGATGCAATTTCTACAGATAACTTTTTCTAGAAAATCCACCTTTTATAAAACAAAGGAAATGGAAGGGAAAACACGCTCCAAATGCAAGCAAACATCTAGGAGTTATTCAATTGCATCATTACCATTTATTCATTTACGTAGTCTGTATGAAATGACTCACCAGGAATTATTTATTCCCTTCAAAATTATACAAATATAACAAATTTATTTTATATCAAAATAACTTACCAAGTACGCTGGGATAAGTCATGATTCATACCATCTTGTTTCGATGCTTGTTACGGCGTTCGAGTCAGGATACAGCTCGCCAGACCGCTATTTTACCACTTTTTTTAAAATTTGAAGTCGTAGGCTTCATCGGCCAGTCATGTGCATGATCATGGCTGTCCGGGTGACGCCGCGTCGAAGGCTGTTTTGCCGACGTTTCGACCATCTGGTCGTGGTCTTACCATGTCCATACCATCAGATGTATGGGCATACCAGCCCATTCCAGCCTTGCCGTGCCACCGCGCTGACAGAGGGCCCACAACGGGCGGGTGGGTGACGCAACGGCGCAGAAGGGGAAGTGGGCGGGAGGTGTTTTCGTAAATTTCACTTTACGACGCTCCTATTCGTCCGATTTGCATGATTGTCACGGCGTAGGATTCAGGAAGCATGTCGCCATCGCGCTATAAGGCCACATTTTTAAATTTGTTCTCGGAAGTTTGAGAACTAATTTCAAATTCGCGTGTTTGCTAGATATTTGGAAAAAGGTCATCGTAGCGTAAATTCTATTTTAAAAAGGCGTCAAATGCCGTTTACAAATCGAAAATCGGACCATTGATTCAGACGTTATCAGTAAAGTAAATTCCCCTGTGATAGTGCTGCGATCTATTGAATTTTCCTACAAGTATTTTTCGGAGCATTTGGCCTTAAAACGATTATGGGTGTTGGAAGAAGTCCGATGTGCGCTTGCAGACGCGCACATGGCGAAATAGGTGCTAGCAATAATTATCCCGAAAGAAAAACTATCTGTCGACGCTCTGTGGAAGAACACATGAAGAACACCTCAGGGATATAGAGGTTCCGAATGGCCTTAAAATGCAGATGACTCCATTACCTCTTCTCTTAAGGAGTCCTTATTCTGCAACCACGAAACCTCAATGGGCTCATTCAGACAAATGGCACTATCGTAATTCCGCATGTTTTCCATTGGAGAAGATTTGTCCAAGTAAAGAGACTTTCTTTTTCACGACAGATTTATTTTTTTTGGGAATTTTGAAACCCAATTTATATTTAATATACTTTTGTGATAGTATTTAATTTTTGATTTCTGAAAATTGTTGTTAATCTTCAGTTTTTTAGAAATTGTTAGTAAGCCAGATCTGTCCCGTTGGCCTTACTGGGTGCGATGGAACATAATAATACTGAAGAGAAAATTAACTTTTCCTATTCTTTTAATTACGAAATAATACAATAAAGAAAATGGGATAATAATTACAATTTTTAAATACAATTTGGAAAGACAGGAATAAAAAAAATGGGTTACTTTCATTCCTGGCATATGATGGCTATTATTTTCTCTTTTTGCTACACCCCTACTGCATCCTTGTAAATGCAAAAAATGTGGATCGCAGTTAACACAGAAAAGAATCCCAGAAATCGTTTTAGGATGCAATATATTGTATGAAATAATAAAAAAGAAATATTAAAACAACATAAAACGCACATTAAAAAAGAAAACGCCACAAATAGAAGAACTTTTTTAAATACTTACGGAACAAAAAATCGAAAAATCACTCGTAACCGTGCACTTAGAAAAATAATTTTAGCAGCTATATAATTAACTAAAAGAAAACGGATAAAACCTAGAAGTGATTAAAAAACGACGACTAAAGTTCTATGAACATATCATCCGCGGGGACCAATCAAGGATAAACAAACAAATGTTTATAAAATCTGGAATTACAAAGGCCAAGGAGACTATGTCAAACAAATGATGGAAGAAATACAAAAATTCAAAATTAATGAACAAGACTGTCTAAATCGAAAATAATATAGAAACAAATTGTTTGACCTCAAAATTGTTGGTGGTGAAAAGAAGAACAGAGAAGAATGGAATGGTGATAGACGAGCTACGCAGTCACAAAATTCTTGAAATCACTTGTAACAGCATTAGTGCAGAAGGCACGAATAAAGGGGTATAAGTATTCCAGCAAACTTTTCGAGGAATGTAAAGGGGTAAACAAACGCGAAACAGATTGTTGGAGAAATCAGCAAGTTCAAGAACATAGCTTATAACAAACGCGCGCCAGGGATCTCGACTGGCGCCGCACGGAGCCTTCCTCAGGACTACATCGAGGGTGCCATTTTAGTGGTGGGCGTAGACGGTGTGAGAAGGAACGCCAGCCCGCTCCGCCCCGCTGCTTCCACTCACCTGCGTAAGGCGGCGCCACCCGCCCCAACCCGCTCGCCGCGCCCTCGGGTCGCCGCTCGGGCCCAGCACGGGACGAAGCAAGGGCAGGCTGCAAACCGACAAATGCTTGGCGAGGCCTCCCACAGCCGCAAGCCGTGCTTGGAACAGTGTGTCGGGACGGTTTTGGAACAACATTAAAACCTGTCTCTGGTGGATGTGGATGTGCGAGTGAGAGAGACAAAGAGAGATGTGAATGAGGGGGTGCCAGAAAAGTTGTTGAGTTGCTTACCTCTTCTGCTGAGCGAAGGGCCGTGCCATAAATGCTCGTCGCGGAGCCGGGCGAGCGCTCGGTTGGTCTACTCTTCGACTCATCGCGTGAGCTCTCAAGGCCGAAGAAGGCATCTTCCGAGAGCGATAGTGCGCAAGGCTGCTTAGGAGCTGCTTCGTGGGAATCCGCGATGTCCCCTGTGCTTGCAGAGCGGCTGCGCCTGCCGCTGGAACGCCCGCTGCCAGTGCTGACGCGAGAGCGCGCCTGGCGCAGGACACTGCCTGCGGGTGAAGCGTTCACTTGGCCATCGCCTTCGATGGCCTCGTTCTGTTCGGGCTCGACGTCGGCCATGTCCACGTCCTCTCGAATCTCCGAATTGCTTCCGTCGTCGGTTTCGCTTTCGTCGTAGTCAATGAGAGCCCAGGTCTCCTCGCGCAGGTGCCGGTTCGAGGGGAACTGGGGCTGGTCGGATTCTTTGCGGGTCCAGAAGTCCGAAGCTTTGGCGAACCGACTTGCGCCGTTGCTAGGATTGCTGAACGGAGGGGTCCGTACTGCCGCTGCGGAAGCTGGGGCCCTCACGCACATGAACAGCCACTCTGGAAACTCGCTGATGGACGAAGGCGTCCTGTAGCCCTCACCTTCCGGACTGGCGGTTGAGGCAGCTTCAATCCCTGCAACAAGCACAACTTTCTAATTAACCCAAGACTAGGATAAAAATGGCGAAACAACTAAACGCACATGTATTGCTGTGAATATTATCGTCAACCTAAGTGCAGAGAACCAGACCAAGGCAACAGAATTCGTCGAATAACTATGAAGCAAATGTCTTACCAGATTAAATTAATGCGACACTTTTAATAACCATGGATGGTGTGGAATAATATTTTCCTATTATATTGCTTCCTTTTGGTTTAGGAAATCGTTTCATTTCCTAGCTTACGTTCTACTAACTGTTGGAGTAAAAGACATGTAAATTTATGAATTAAACGACCAAAACAGTTAAACACCGCGTGTGACGTTTTGTAAAGAGTGTTTTGTAAAGGTTATACCGAAGCTATAGGATCCCTAGATCCCTATCCTTAACCCATTGCCAAGTTGTATTGGGAATTTAAATAGAAACTAACTTTTTCGCTAGAATTGCTTAAATATTCGCTCCCGTGTAATAAAATCTATTAACAAAAAAATATCAGCCACATAATTTCACTTTACGTAACTAATACATTAAATACCATCGTTAAAATCAATATCGTATTCAATCAATATTATCCTTTTTGATTCTCAGTATAGCCTCTAACAGAAACTATCTACAGAAAATATCTACTAACTCTCTACAGAAACAGCAAAGCAGCACTAAAGATTTTTTGGCACATAAACTTACTAATCGGTTTTAAACGTTTAATGTCATGGGGTAATGTGTTGTAAAATGATGTATCAGTATTATATGTGAACTTTTTGTAATGAGCTATTAATACTGACATCTGATGAATATAATTACTAAATCGAATGTTATAGCTATAAACATGACGTCAAAAGCTTTTGAAATATCTAGAACTATTCAATTAGGTGCTTCATTCTTCAATTTTATTTCAGCGGTCGAAACGCAGAACAGTTGAAGAATAGACGCATGATGGAAAGATATGGGTGAACTACTCGGGGCACCGGTTTTTATCTCCTTCTGCGCAGCACCAGTTCGCATCTCGAAACACGTGACCACAGCACGGGCCCTTTTTTTGAAAATCCAGATCAGTCGCGGGCCGCCATGTTGTATGGAGAGCAGGTGTTGAGAAACGTTTTGAAATTGGCAGGAAATGACAATTTCCAACGAAAAGTAACATGACGGTGTAATTGACAGTTCAATGACGGTGTAACTGATATAAAAGGTAAATCATATATCTATACCAATAACTTGTAATGAAGTGATGAATGTTTTGGTGTCTGGCTGCATTTCGAATTCCCGCTAATATTGAGCCGCTAACAGGTGCCTGAAAGTGCCAGGAATAGCCGCAGAGGCGTCTCCCAATCCTTGCCTGTGGAGCTGGAGGGCCCAGCGTCGCCGTCCGCGTCGCCCGCAGCAGAGTGCAGCTCTGGCGTCCAAGGCCGTTGCACCTGGGGCAGATTCCAACAGCTCTAGCATGTCCGCTACTTAGGACACAACGCACGGAAAGCATTTGACTGCAATCATATTGTACGTATACAATGACGCAGGTAAATAATCCTCCGTTCAGAAAAATAAATCATCGCCAGAGTCCGAATCAATCTCAGACGCAACAAACCGACATCACAATGCTCCTTTTTCTACACGGACCCGTCGAAATACAAAGATGAAATAGGTGTAGAGCACTTGAGGGTTCAAAAGACTTTTAATAATCACTTAGGACCAATATATTGCGAAAAGACAAATCCAAAATGTTTGAGGTTTAATATTATATAGCAATTTATAATAATATAAAATAAGTACAAGAAATATATCTCGCAAATATGGTGACACGTTTTGTAATATTAGACACTAAACAATGAATGTCCAATGTCTTCACGACGCTAGCACTCAACTTTTCTTTCTGGAGTGTTTGTAAGAACCAAACTGACATCGTTCCCGCTGTGGATCCGAAGCCCCCCGCGCGTTTACCTCCTTTGGCGCCAGCGACAGGTCCTCGAGATGGAGGTGGTGGCTGCCCGCGGGAGACCGCCCGGCGCCCCCGGCCGCTCCCGGGCTGCTGGGGGGAGAGGGGCAGCCTCCGCAGCCGATCAGCTGGGCGCCGCCTGGCGGAGGGAGCAGCTGCATTACCACTGAGCGCACGACCTTGCCTCGCCTTCACACTGCACGCGCTGAACTCCCTCACCACTTCTCCCGTCTCTACTTCTCCAGGCCGCGGACCCTATCTATCGATAACCTGCTGTGGGAAGTCGCGGACCTTCTCAACTAGTTCATAGATTATCCCCTGAGCGCCGCTGTGATCCGTAGGTCCTTAGCGGAATGGTGATTAACGACAGGATAAGGTAGGGTAGGGAATGAATCATGGAGTGATCCGGTGGAATGCATATTGGCAGGGGAAAGGGCACGACTTCTAGGAAACCTGCCGCGAAGCCGCTGTCCACCACAAATTCCACTTGGAACCGTCTGGGGAACCGCCTGGGATCGAACCCGTGCACCGGCGGTAGAAGGAATTTAAAATTTTACAATGAAGTATTTTATCGTTTTCACGGAAGTGAAGGTGAACGTTATTAGTTCAAATTGGTGCATGTCAATGTTATACACAGACATTTCTAACATTTATTATATTACATGCTCGTCGACAATCACATATCTTCAGTTAAAATTTACAATTTTGTAAATTTAAAAATCTAATATTGTATTGCCTATCGTATATTTATTGTAAGTGAACATTTTTATATATTACAGTTCATACCTAATGATGTAGCCACAATGTACTCCGAAACGTAAATTTTAACTAAAGGTAAATGATTGCTGACTAGCTTGTATATATTGACTTTTTTGTGACGGGCTAAATCTTGGCAAAACACGAGAAACACAGTCTCACTTCGGAATTGACGCGGAGCTATGCACATTGCCACACGTCGCGGGACCCTGCATTCGGATGCTCGATGGTCATTGGCTATGCGCGTACAACCCTCCTCTCTCGATGGGATACGACTGAAACAACGTCACTGCTCACACATGGGATCTCCTCTAGAACAGCAACCGACAGGCACGCACTTTCTTCTCCATATTTTCACACAAAGTTGCGCGAAAAGTACAATTATTTCGGAAAAATTGTACCTGACTTTATTTCAAAATCTATCTTCAAGGAACAGAATTTATTATGGGAAAACTCTCTATCTTTAATATTTTAGATGTAGGAAGACTCCGAAAAAAAATTGAATTTTTGCAATTTTCGGAAAATGAGCGTTCTTAAGGAAATGAGTCCTATACCATTCTCTTAAACGTCCTTCACACTACATAATGACAAAATTTAATTAAAAACGATGAAGTCGTTTTTTGAAAATTTGGATAATGTCAAATAAAATTAATGTAATAAAATTCATGTAAAGTACTTCCCGAAATTGAAATATTAATTTTTAAATCCACGGACCGCGACATCAGCCATGTCGATTGGGAAATATCAATTTGGGAGAAAATCGGCTATACGATTCAGTCGCTAGCGTTGTTCACACACGGACGGACTGACACAATCGTTTTGCCGTCATTCGATTTTTTGTGTAAAGACCCACAAAACATGGATTCTGGCTACACCACGCAATAGAGGATTTTTTTCTAAATTTAGCAACAGTATTTTTCCACTCTTTCGTTACCTCTGTAATAAGAGCTTTTCTGTCGAAATACGCAGCATTCGCGCAGCGTTACATAACCTTCACTTGACTCCGTAGGGAGAAAGTCAAAGGATATGTTAATCTCTCAATACTTAGTCACTGAGGAGGCGTTTCGTATAGCCAAAACAGAAAAGTAACATAAACATTGTATAATTCCACGAGCCTCAAGAGCTGAAACAAAAGTAACAAATGCAAGGCCTGACTGGGCCGGGCTCACCTCCGTCGAGCAGCTCGCGTTGCTCGTGCAGGTTGTGGGCGGGGCCGAGGGCGGGGGAGGGCGGCGACCCCAGCCATACGACCTCCACCTGGAAGGGCGACGTTCGGCGCCCGGCGCCCTGCAAGCAAGCGGCGCTTAATCCGCCCCCGCTCCCACTTCCGCTCCCAGCCGGCTCCCACCCCCTCTCCCGCTCCTACTCACGCTTCCACTGTCTTCTACCCCCTACACCGCTCCCACGCCCTCTCCAACTCCCACCCTCGCTCCTACTCTCCCTCCCACTCCTCGCACCCATTCCCGTTCTCTCGCTCCCACTCACCCCCGCTCCTACTGCCACTGGGGGCTCGCTCCCACCCCGCTCCACACGCCTTCCTCATGCTCCCCACACACTCACCTCAAAATAACACTCGCGGAACACCACTATCATTATGGAAAATAGTTTGGTTTCATGTCGCACACACGGATTTTCTATATTCGCCATGTCGCCGCACTGAAAGACCGCCGTCGGTGGCTCGTTGGTTAGCTTGCTCGTGTTCCAAGGCGCAACCCCGGATTCGATTACCGGCCGCGACAAATTATTACTATGCAATTTCCTTACAAATGTCCCAGTACCTAGTGTGTGATGATGAGAAAGCCCACCCTAAGGTTATGAAGACCAGAATATACGGTGAAGGGATGTATTCGTGTTAACCACACAAACTCCTTAACCCATGGCGGAAAGGCTGGCTCACCGCTGGTTAGACAACGCCCGTAGCGGGCTGTCAAGCAATTGGGCAGGACAGGCGCATTGAAAGAGGTTTCATGTACCTGACCGGTGCACATCGAGATGTATTCTTACGTTGTTGTACTCTTCACACCCAGGTCGGGTCAGTATGATTGTCTGTAACTTGTTATCTGTAAATGGTTTGGCTTTTGCCTTTCCAAAAATTATATTGATTAGATAAACAGCGGCGTGTACCAAAATAGCTATTTCAGTAATATTCAGATTCAGAATAATTGCATACAAACAAGTGCAGTAACATCTCTCGCGTATATGTTATTATAGCGATATTACGTTATATTTTGTCTCCTGGCCCATACAGGAATCCATACTTGGTTCTCTTCCACAACGGGAATTGGAACACCGTGCTCAATTTTTGCTTATCAGTTGATCGCAAGCCGCAGATTCCAAACCTACACAAGAACCGCTATGTCATGGCTTTCTTTCAAAACGATCTGTGCAATCTTGCAATCCGCAGTGATTGACTAAAAATAAATGATTATTTTTCTATTAATATATTTACGAAAAGGATAAATTTCACGGGGTTCACATACTCGAATTAATTTGGAAAGCGCAACCACGACACAAAACACCAGAAATGTAGGCACAAATGTTGGGTTTCGTTACATTAAGATGGTTTCCCCAATTTACAATAGGTTGCTCTGCGCGACGGGAAGGAACTCAAAGCGTCGCAGTTGGTGCATCTGCAGAGGGGCACTCACCTGGCCTGCGCCGGGGGCGTCGAGGGCGCCGGGGGGCGGGGAGACGGCGGGAGACTACCGCCGCTCGCCGCTACATCCGAGGCCGTCAGAGTAGAACTGGCGCTACAGTCGCTGCAGCAAGGCACAGGCAAATAAAGCTTTAGGGGGGGCTCTTGTTCACCGAAGGCGACAAAAGCATGCAAGGTAGCAGACCGGTAATAGGATTTGGAAGATTTCGAGCTCGGCGGGATTGGGCACTTTGGCCACAGCTCTACCAGAGGCGCAAAATGCATTTGGGAGGGAGGGTTAGGGAGGAGAATTAGAAATTGCTACAGAATCAAAATCCTAAATTTATATAGTCAATGTTTCGTTAGATTGTGTACAGCAAAATTGCATTCAATATTATATTATTTTCAGTTTCAATTTATTTTATTGATTGTAATTTTCTCTTGCAATACTATTTTATATAAATTGGACCGTAATTTCACTTTGATCCTATTTGACTAGCGCAGTACTTCCTCGCAGGCGGACTGGTAACAAAAGCCACCTTCGGCAGGCTGGCGGCACGGTAGGGCGGGCTTAGGGAGCTGTTCGCTAGATGGCCTTGGCTGAATCCTGCTTGTCAACTGCCACGAAAAAATTCAAAGTAAAAGTTTAACCATTAAACGTTACCATAAATCGAGAACAAGTATGTATGATATTCGATGTAAAGCGTATTAATACACTTATGTGAAGTTTGAGACAATCGCTCGTTCCTCGCTTGTATCGTTATATCACACGTGTGTATTAGTACCCATCATTACATCATCGTTTCGTAATTGACTATTCATCTTTACGTACCTGGACCTGCTGATACTGGCTGCATCGCTCCCCTCCCAAGAGGCCTCATCTCCGTCCGGGAGCAAGGTCTTTCCGCCTCCCTCCTCCTCCCGACCTGACGCTGCCTCCTCCTCTTGGGATCGTATCATCGACCCACTCCTATCAATCCTATCATCGAATGTGTCGTCCCGAGTGCTGTCGCCGACGTCGCAGTGCATCTGGGAGACGGCTCCGCCAGACGCATCCGCTCCTGCAGACGCGTGGGCGAGCCCGTCATCGTTGCGCTCTCGCGCCTGCCTCCGTCCGCCCTCATCCTCGGCCTGGTCCCCCTCCTCGACGACGCACGGCCGCTCGACCTGGTCCCCCTCGTTGACGACGCACGGACGCTCGGCCTGGTTCCCCTCGTCTACGACGCACGGTCGCTCGGCCTGGTCCCCCTCGTTGACGACGCACGGACGCTCGGCCTGCCGTCTATTGCAACTTGTGACTGAGGACAAGGTGTAAGGCCTGGTCTCTCTCGGGGTCATATATTCGTCGGGAACTTGTGCTGACATCTGGACGACGTTGCTCGCGGCAACTGCCATTTCTTGACTTTCTGGGAGCAGCTCTGGAAGGAAGGTTGCAGTTGGTTTAGAGAATTGCTCTTCGGTAACACGACTCTGTATATTGTGAAGTATACATCGTGCTCTATCGCAAATACTTCTGGTGAACGATAATCCACATAATTATAAGCACCAGTTAGGAAAAACCTACCTACGCCCGAGGTTGAGAGCTGAGCTGGTGTACTGCCTGAGGATTGGCTGCCTGAAGAGCAGATTGGCTGCATGGATGACGCACTAGCAGGGGTACTCCCAGAAACATTGCATAAGGAGCTAGTTGTCGAGGACGTACTAGCAGATGAATCTTCTGCTGGAGCGAGCGGTTGATTCCCGCGTCGCCTGCTCTCAGCCGCAGGCGAGAGGGCGGGGGCAGAGGAAGACGGTGGTCCAACCTGAAGGATAGGACCGGCCCCATGTCTTACGCGCGTCACACCGCGCTCGTGTGTGTCGACCTCCGCCAGGCATTGCGCCAACGCAGGGGTGGCTCGTAAAGGCAACACGGTGAATCATCAATATCATCATCATCATCATCATCATCGTTATTAAGGGTTAGGCTGTAAATGTATTTCGAGAAAATGTTACAATCGCGATCGAACCTAATAATCAATTTCGATACGTAGATTTGTGGTTTTCAGAAGTTTAAAGTATGTTAAAACTTTTAATTTTAGTCAATCAGTATAATTAATGTATGAACTATAATCATTAACTCATCTCCTTGTTTTGTATTCGGCACTTCGGGAGCCTAGTCCGACCTCATCATCAGGATATCTAAAAAACTACAAATTAAATGTATTATAATAAGTTTCGTGTCAGAATAAACGCACAATATGGCGCAATAATTTGTGACATGTTTTCAAAGTATGAGAAGAATGCTGACTTACCCAAATTTTTCTCCATATATTTTATAAATAAAATGCTATTTTATATGTCGCCATGTATTGGAATGTTTTTGTTAGAATGCTGTCGAGTCAACAATACTTACTTTACTGGAGAACACTCAGTTTCAACAATAAGAGAGAAGAGAAATCGAGTTAGATGGAGGGGCGAGAGAGAGAGAGAGAGAGAGAGAGAGAGAGAGAAGGGAAGGCGAAAAACAAAGCCAATTGTACGTTTACCTAATGTTCATACTCTTTGAATTTTGAGATTATTGTAACATATGCCCCTGTGAAATCAGTTTTTCAAAAATATGTTTATTGCATATTTTTAACTGAATTGTCTCATAAATTAATCGTTTATATATTTTCGATTCTTTATCTAAAATCTCATCTTCATTAAATTGAATCGAGTGAATTGTATCTAATCTGAGATGTAATAAAGATTTAAATATATTTCATGATTTATTAATATTTCTAGGATGTATAAAATTAGATTTATTTTTTTTTAAGATTAAATTGATATTTTCCAATGCAGCATCATTTGCAATCATTATATTCTAAACTATAGAAAGTTTCAGTATTTACGTTTTATATACTATCCTTGACATACTTTATTTAATTTTTAATATTACATTTTTTCTCTGACAAGGGTCTACCAATTTTTGCAAATATATTTTCAATGGAAGACTGGTACTGATGGTACTGGTGACAATCGTATTTAATTCCTTTCATCTGTTGTGGCAATTAAGTTTCCGAAACATTCGACAGCACCGAACACATTTCATCTTATTGTGGCTTCCGAGTTTAAATTGTCACTTGTACCGTTCAAGAAATGAAGCCAGCCAGGTGCAATAGTGCATGTGCAATTCTCTGCCATGAAGTTGTGTTGCCCATTACCAAATCTCAAAGAATTCGGGTAGTGCATCGATTTGCATGTTATAATTTTTGCAAAGCTTAACAGAGCTGATATTTTTCTTAAACTTGTATTTGCTTCAGCTTACCAGGTTTTCGCATTTTTCAAAGACAGTGACAGTGCCGAATGATGCCACTCTGCAAAGTACCCGTAGCCGTACTTGTACAGTGCTAGTTTCAGGTTAGAATGACAACGATTTAAGTACTCAAACGGGAGAATTTTTTTTATCGTTCTTCGTTAGTTCATAACAAATCATGAAAAAACAGAAAAGAAAAGTATAAATAATATATTTTTTCTTATGAGATGATTTTGGCACATCCGTTTCACTATTCTTCGAGTCGCTTTTCACCACGGGACTTCTATACTTCGATTTTTGTAACGTGGTGTCTCAAGGTCACGCACGAAAATGGGAGAGGTAGAGCAGACTTTAATAAGGAGCTGCAACGTCACTACAGCTCCCACTTTTACGACGCCCTATTAGAGTCTGCCTTCCCTCTCCATTTTTCGTGTGTGACCTTGAGACGCCACGTTGGAAAATCTAAGTGTAGAGACGAACGAAGCGCCAGCGCACTGGCCTTGAAGTACTCACCTCGAGGGGAGCGGCCACAGGAGAGCGTGGGCCGCCTGCGCAGGCGGGGGAGTCTGCCGGCCACAAGTCGGAGCAGGGCAGCGTGAAGGGCGACGCGGCGGGCGGCCCGGCGCCTTGCCGGGCGTCCGCCCACCCGAGCCACAGCGCAACGCTCCATACATCTGGCAGCGCGGACACACACACATTCACTCCACAACACAGCTTAGTGGGGTCGGCAGCAAAATAGCAATTGCGTCTTCTCCACTATTTAATCAAAATGTTCTTATTCCTTCTTATTATGTTTCTTATTCCTTCCGCTCGCCGGCGTTTTTCCTGGTTTCATATGTTCACATACTTCTTATTATGATGAGTCGAATTGGCACGTTCAAAGCTCACTATTATAAGACGGGAAATTCAATTTGTTTGGATACAAACGAAATAAATAGAAGTATCCTGCATATACGTTATTATGGGTACTCCAATTGTTTGTACGAACCCTTATCACATTTTCTCATACACAATATGTTACGAAGTTGGTCCACATACTTCCTTAGAAACGAAACTATGCTCGAACCGGAGCTATGTCCATTTCTTGTAAAAAATAGTCTAGTAATAATCAACAGCTTTTTTATGAGTATTTTCGTTGTAAACAGTGATAGTGTGTACGTGTGCAAAAAAGTTAAAGTATTGTTTGTTGTTACGTGTGCAAAAAAGTTTCAATATTGCATTGGATCTTGGGGGGTGACTTGCTTACGTGGGGCCTGCGTAAGGCGCGACTCGCCAATGCTTCTGAGTGGCGCCCTGCTCGCCATGCGTTGATTTAAAAGTGAGTGGCGAACTCCCGGGACCAGCAGCGTGCATCCACGCCTCCGCTAGCAGAAGATAATTTTAAATGACAACATTCACCCCTGACGCTCGGACGCGCCACTGGACTTATCTGATTACATATTGACTGACTTCGGCTGTGACGCACGAATCCTTCGTTACCGTGGCGTTCGGCAGTGGGTGTGTAAGAAGGGGGCCGACACTGCCCAGTGACGCCATCGAGTGGCGCCGTCTGAAGGCAGCCTAGTCGTTTGTCCTATGAAATTGTCCCCGCTTCTCCTTGTTTTCAAAGAGTTCGTTTTACACTTCTCAGTTTGACCTACGTACATAGTCGTTCCGAGAATCAACAAGTGCTAATCGTAAACATGTTCTTTCTCAAAAGAAAATAGTGTTGATTAAAAAACTGTCCTAAAGATTGTGATGACAATATAAAGATAGTGGTGCTAAATAGCACACACTGTCTCGTATTTTTATAATTGCTCTGCTATATTATACAACCACAAACCTGCAAAAGTGTTTTCAACCACCAAACATTTTCTCCGCAACGAGACGCGAGCACAGGTCCCTCGTGTTAACTCGCCGTCAACCACACCACTACGGTACAAGGGCACAGTCGGGTCGAATGCGCACCGACGCTTGAAAATGTAATTGTCTTAACCGAAACTTTTACCAATTTCCAACACGCAATTTTTCGAACATGCAATTCTTCGAATTTTCCAAAAGGCGGAGAGTTCACCTAAAATTGGACTACCACCTGTTGTTACATACGACGAGAAAATTTAATGAAAAAAATTGGAGCATTCTTTGAGATTTTTTTTAGAAACTGCATAATATTTTGCCACAACTTCCGCGAAATTTTCTCATTCTTTCAAATATTTGTACATGACCTTTTTCAATGAGCCATTTTTTTAAGAACGGGCATTGTTAAAGGTAAAAATCTTTATCTTCATTTTTATACTTTTGAAACGTTAACTTTTGGTGATTTTCAAAAATACGAAGAGTTCGGAAAAAGTGGAACTAGCACCATAGTTTTAACCATACCGTACCTACGAGGAGTAAAATGTAAAGATAAAAGGTTTGGGGGGACGGGTTAAAAATATAAATTGCTCATATTTCGTTCATGAATGCACGAAAACTACCCATATTGTCAAACATTCAACTTGACATTATTTCAAGTTCTCTCTTCAAAGAACAGATTTCATTAAGGAAAAAATTCTGAAAAAGAACTGAAGTTCGAAAAATCATTTCAAACCGCAAAAAACAAAGGTTGACTAAGAAACAGACAAAGGAAAAGAAAGACTGACAAAAAAATCAAAAAACAAACTATACATTGCAACTGTTGAAAAATTCATTTTACGTACCCTAAAGAAAGAAAACAAAACATTAACATAAACATTGTGTCATCTTCCTATCGACCAAAATTGGGAAGCAATTCTCAAACAATTCTCAGAAAATATGAAGGCTTTCAGGCCCCCAACATGGATTGAGAAGGATATGGCCATTTTCTTTTCTTAAAGAGGTTGCTTTATCAATGAATGAACACGAAGCACCTGTTTGCATATTTTCAGATCATTCAAAATCTTTCGCGTCATTGACTATAACATTTTGTTTTGAAATATTATTTTTGAATTAATTCATTTATTTTTGTCAAAGAACAGCAAAAACTGTATGCGACGTGTAGGGATGAAGTATAATCTGTGCACTTCTTGAATTTCAGTTTCCCCACCCTTTTACTCTACATAGTTGTGGCGAATAAAAGTGCTAAGTGAGCACCGTTTGAGAAAAAAAATAGATACTTTCGCTCCCAACCTTTAGAAAACTTATGATCATCGGTAAACGAAATTCAAATTTGTTTGTACTTTCTCGCTTCGGAGTAGAGAGAAGTTACGTAATGCTCCGCGAAAAACGACAAGTATTATGTGAAAGACGATATAAGGCGAACTTGTAAGATCTCAATAAAGGAATCGCGACTTTTTTGAGTCCACGTGGGGGAGGGGACACAAGATCGAATCCGCCGCCATCAAATCGCTTTACGATTCCGCCAGAATGTTCCGGAAAGTTGAGAATGTTGACGAATCAACAGCCGCAAACGTAGGGACTTTCCAATGGCTCCTACACCGGATTATTTGGTAGTGGGGAGAATGTTAGCGAACGAGTAGCCAAAAGAAGAAGACAGAGATGGGAACATGAAAACATAATATGATGACGGAGGAGACCGGATCTGAAGAGCACAAATAGGGACAGTAGAACAATACTGATCCAAGTGACATTTTGTCTTTTTTTGGGGGGGGCTTCTCGCATGGATACACGAGAGAATGTATACATTTTTATGCCACAGTGATCCAAGCACAAAAACCATCATCTTATGTAGAAACTTCTCAATCTCCCAATTCCCTTATTCAGTTTCTTCATGCCAAACACAAACGCGTTTCCCTCATTTTCTCTAACTGATGAGAATGTCACTTGGATCAGTACGGTTCTCTTCTCGCCATGTTCGCAAGTAACTGCACGCCTTAATAAGTACTACTTATCAGTATGACCATTACGAACGTTCTCTTAAGCGACCAACGAGTCTTTTCTAGTTTGTACATACAGGAATAATGAACAACAGGCACTCACCTTCTCCCCAACAATAGGGCAACGTCCCTCCAGCTTCTGCAGGAGCCTCTTCGGAGGCGGGCGGGCGGGCGGAGTCGCCGGGCAGTCTGTCGATGGCGCCACGCACTCCGGCTACAGCCCACGCCCCAGCCGGACCCGCAGCCCTTGCCCAGGTGCAAGCCGCACGGTCGCTCACGGGAAGCTGCAGGGCAGACGAACGCGCCGGGCACTCAGGTGCGATGTACCCCCCCCACACACACACACCAAAAACAACAAGGAACCCGCATGCCTCCTGCCTGTAGAAAAGACACTTGGATAATTTCAACACACTTTTCAACAATGATTAACACACTTCTCCCTTACTTTGTGCAATACTGGATTTCCGAGATATAATAGGGTAAAGACAACACAAAACAAGCACATTTTAAGAAATAAGATTTGGACGCTACCCACTTGCTTCAAACCTTTAAAACGTGTAGATTATCACTTCTAATGGGGAAGAGTAGAAAGTAGATTTATTTGTTATATTTAAAGGAAAGTTTAGATTGTCTTCATAATATTACAATTGCAAAATTGTTATTTGAACAGTTAGTTTTTAGACTTATCACCTGAAAGACGTTCCGGGAGCAGGATATCCATTACAAAGTGAGTCTCTAACAGTTACCAAACTTTTGCAATTTTCAAGTGGCCACCGTTGAAACAAAATCGGGATTGGTAAATAAAATATTAAGTAATATAAAAGTTCAATTCAAAATTCGCAAATTATAGACAGTAGATCTATTCAGAAAGAGGTATACTTAATCTAAAATCTTTGCCAAATCATTTTTTTTAGAATTTAGGTCTTTAAATAAAATACAACACTGTATACTGGAATTTTGTGTTTTGAATTGAATTCTGTCTTTAAAGTTGATGGCATATGAATTTCATGAGGAAGTACAAAAAATATTTGAAAACAAAAGTCAAATTTAAATAGTTTTATATTAGAATACATCAACGACTTACTGAAAATGTAATATTAATAAATTAATAATATGCCCCTTTTTGAAAGTCGATTTCTTGTTGATCATTTATTTTGATTGAATTGGATCTTCCCTGGTTCAATTTTATTAAATATTTAAGTACGATATTATTGATTTTTCTTTCCGTAAGAAAAAAAGGAAATATTAAATATTAGTATACATACACTTAGTACTAATATACTATTTCGTGTGCGTTATATAATAATAATATATTATGTATTAGTATACATATATACATACACCTGAATGTTTTGCTGGTTGCTTGCAATTTGCGTAATGGGGGCAATGGCCCCCGGGCCGTTTGGGCGGGCTGTATGATTATTACCCCCCGGGCTGTATGTTTGTTCCTGAAAAAACTAATCGCTTATTCAAATAAAAGAAATAGAGCCATGTAAAATATATGTCAGTTCTATGTTTCGACAAACACCTAATGAATACTATGTTTGTTACAAGATTCCCCGAATTCTTATATAATGTCCTTCCATAATTGTTCTCCTACCGATGTCCCAATAGATCTCTTTGGGTCAAAGGTCATCAAAAGAGTTTCAGGTTCATGAACTACGGTAACTAGTGCGCGTAGAAGGATATTGCGTGGCTCAGTTGGACCGAGCTGAGCTTTCACCTCGCCGTGCGCCGGGGCCTGCGCTCTACGCTTGCTGGAAGGATTGGGTGGCGAGTGTCGCCTCTCGTGCCCGCGTTGTCTGTGTCGCTGCGCTTCCTGTATTACCTGCTCTGCCTGTTACCTGAACTGTCCGCATTACCAGCGCTGCCCGCGATACCTTCGTTGTCTGTGTCACCTCCGCTGCCTGCTCTGCCAGCGTTGTCTGCATTCTTTGTGCTACCTTCGTTGTCTGAGTGACGTGTCCTGCCTGCGTTACCTGCGTTATAGCGATCTCGCCCTCGGATTCCCTCGCAACGCGCGCCGCGGCGGACGGAGCGGGGGACGGCGGGACCTCCGTGCGACGCCACTCTTGGGAGCTGCAGTCTGCGAGAAGAAGATAAGCGACTGAAGGGCGGGGCATGTGAATCGTTTTAATTATTGATTATTTATCCTCATTACTGTTAAAAATGTGATTTTGTAACGTTTCCTGTGTTTTTACACCCTACTTTAGCCAGAATACATGCCTTTTTTGCCTGCCTATTTTAGGTAAAATAAACGCTTGAAAGTGGAAGTATTTTGGGAAGGGCCGTGCGCAGGGTATGGGAGCTTACCTTGGTCAGAGCGTCTCGCCATCGCCTGGCGGGGTGCGCGCCTCTTCAGCTGACCTTGTTCGGTGGAAGTGGCCGAGTTCTTTTCACTGAGGTCTCGAGGCTCTTTCCGCTGCTTGTCTTGAACCTGAAAACGCAGTATACTACTCAATACAAAGAGAAGGAAGCTCATAAATAAATACAATTCTAACTCGATCACATATTAAAAGGTACTATTCACATCAACATAATACCGTTGATATTGCATTTTCTTCATAAGCGAATATAAGACGACCCCTAATTTTTAAAGGTTAAAAAGGGAAAAAATCCTCTCTAGAGTATATCTCAATACTGATTCTAGACGTATACAATAAAATCATTGCATTTTTATTTAAATAAGATTTTGCAGCACATAAGCAACCAACATTATTTTTGATTGTTTAAAAAACATGCTTAATATGTTAGTCACATTTTAGATATAGATCAAATATAGCTTCGTTTTTGAGAGATGGTCATGTAGACATTTTTGAGACATGCTATTATATTACGAGTCTGTAGCTTCGCTTATTTGTCATAAATGTGATGTTTTGCAGAAAATTAACCTAGTCTTGTTTGGATTCACAAACAGATAATTTTTGTACAATTTTAAATAGGGATTTCAGATCCTTTTGAACAATTCTTTGACATGCATTCACACAATGATATCATTGTGCAAATACAGCAAAATTGCATCATCCTTATACATATATTTACACTCTTTAATTACCTTAAACAAGTTCACATATATTATAAAGAGTATTAGCCCTAGTTGGCTTCCCTGTGGGACCCCATATCTAAGGTTTCCCTGGTCACTTCGTATATTACAGACTTTTATTATGAATTTTCTGCTTACAAAAAGCTTGCAGTAAGATAGGTAGCTTGCAAAAAGTTTAAGAAACCTAACTTCTACACCTATTTAATTCATTCTGTTAATTAGAATTGTATGATCCACTCTATCAAATGCCAGATCTATAAATACAGAGATTGCACTTTGCACCTTGCTTAGTTGCTCAAACATATAATTACCTACTTTATTAAGCAGTTGTTCAGTTCCCTTTCCATTTTGAAAAACATATTGATTCTCATTAATCATTTGTTTTCTACTGTGTACTTATTCAATCTATCCACTAAGTATTTTTCTAATAACTTCACAATTATGGGTAAAATTGAGATTGGGCGTTAAATTGTTTATTTTGAAGCCTGACTTATTTTAAATATTGGCCTAACCTCTGCAATTTTCATAGGTTCAGGGAAAACACCAGTTCTGTTATTAGTGTTGAGTAATTCTCTTATTATCAAGCTAATATATCAGCAGATTATATTTATAATGTAGTATCACAGGCCCTGATTCTGACATAATCAGCAGATTTATTGATGTTAATTTCTTTAATGATTTTTTCAACTGTTGTTATATTAGTGAAACATATATAGAGCAAGTAATACCATCGTTTGCACTAGCATCATGCAGAATATCTACTTGGAATAACCAATTTTCTGAAGTTGTTTCATCAACCTGCTTCATAAATTGATCAGAAAATTCATTTGCAATGGAATAAGTATTTTTACTTTTACTTATTGCCTTGATTAGTTTCTCATCTTCATCTTTATGCTTTTTCTATTCAACTCATTGTTCCATACACACCATAATTCTTTACAATTATTTGCTTTATTTTCAATTTTTTCTTTATAGAACTTATTTTTTGCTTTACGTATTTCATTTTTAGTCTACTCCTTAACTTTGCATATGAAAACCTGTAAAGACCATTTTTTGGTATCTTCATGGATACTTTTTTAGGATATTCTTTAATTCCTATATTACAGATTTGTTGATAGCATCATTCACTAATGGACAGGTAACCTTAAGACAACTGTACCAATTTCATGAACTTATGAATCCTTTACATTCAAACATTCAATTTAAAATAGAAATAGGAATTGATCAAACTATTAATTTTTTGGACTTGACTATATGTATAAAAAACAATAAACATTAATTCAAAATTTTTAGAAATCCCGCCCAAACTAACGTAGTTGTCCCTTCAGATTCTAATCACAATTTAAAACACCAACTTTGTGTCTGTCATTCTTGAATACATAGATTGTTCATGGTCCCCATGTTACAAAATGAATTTCACAATGAAATTTCCATTATAAAAACAATAGCCAATAATAATGGATACAATCCAAAATTAACAGACAAACTTGTTGCATCAAACAAGAGAAAATATTATTCAAACACATTTTTCCTTTGAATCTTCCAGATGAAAACAAAAAAAATATTTGTATTCCCTATATTGGCAATGTGTTATGTTTAGGTCAACGACTCCAAAAAATAGATTAAAAAAAACATGGTAAAAATGATGTGTATATTTTAAATTGTAATGATTGCAATGCAACTTATGTAGACCAGACAGAAATAAAATTTATTCATAGAGTCATTGAACACATTAGAGCTTGGAAACTAAACCAAGGAAATTCAACATTTGTCTCACATCTTTTTGAACAGAACTACTCTTTTGATCGTAACAAACACTTTCAAATTTTACATATTATTCAAAATAAAGGATCAAAATTAAATATTCTGGAAAATTTAGAAATAACAAAACTACTAAAAAATACTTCAATGACTTGCCTTAAATCAGCAAACAGAAGTAAAGTGTGGTACGCTTATGAATCTGTTTACTTCTTTTCCCCCACTCCACACTAAACCATAGACAAAATGGCTTCTATTTATAAGATTAAGAATTACATTAACCTCAATCTGTACATATTTGGACCATATTTCCTGAATAAACATTATGGTCTCTGAAATTAATCATTTATATACATTTTTAAAATACATTGTATTCATTTAATATCTGTTCATGTTTTAAATAATAATGTTGTTTATTGTACCACTGAAGATGAGAAACTAGTTTCGGTATGGTGTAATATGTGTTAAATGCAATATTTGAAGGTTATTCATTGTGGGCTGATTACCTCTATTCATACATCTAAATCATTTTTTGGTTTGGATTTCCGTTTTGTAAAGAGCCAGTCTCTTTTTTCATTTTTCTACTCAGATCATTAATGATCCACCCCTTGTTATTCCTATTCTGTTGATTCTTTATTTCTTTCACATTTTGCAAATATTTTATATTACAGTTATGAATATTTTTAAAACAAACTATTACCTCATTACAAAACATATTAACATCTTTATTTTTACACTTTTCCCAACCATGCTTTTCAATTGATTTTTGCATTTTCTCATCATCATACTTGGTAATTATTTTGAGTTGATTACATGCAATGTCATTATTTACATACTTATTTGTAATGTAGGAGACTGTGGGATAATGATGAGATATTTTGACTAGTAGGTTCTATACTGCTGCTTTAATTTTGTTTGTTTTTGATTATACGAAATATGTATCTATGATCCAATAAAAAAGAACATAATAATCCCTCTCAAATTGCTTCCCTTGTAGCTGATTCGATGGCATTTACAATCCCCTTACTACATATCCTACCTTCATAATCTGCTACACCAAACAACTCTTATTTAAAATATTGATACTCATAATATCCCAAAAACTATTAAAATATGATTATTGTAGCTGTCTTTAAGGATTTGAAGTTCACTAATGAATTCAGCTTTCCTCGTATGTATATATGCGGATTACACATTTTTATTGATATCACTGAAAGTACCTGTTAAACTTTCAAAGCTATTTGATGAATAAAGAATCTCATTAAATACCATTTTATTATTATAGTATACAATCATTCCTTCTCTTTCTCTGGTAGTTCTTAGCTTATAAATACTATTGTAATTTTTAATTTCACCCTGCCTACTTTAAATTTTTGGATATATTTTTCGATTAAACATATAATATTAAAGAAGCTTTGATTTATGAAGATTAACAATTGGAAAAACTATTTTCTTACATATTTCATATTTAAATGACATACATTTATTATTTTTTGTCTTAAGAAGTAATTTTTATGAAGTTCCCATTGACTTACATCATTATACTTTTTTTAATTAATTTGCCTCCCCACATTTCAATACCATACAGTAGGTGAGATTGAATTGTACCACAATAGATTGACAGAAGTGCTCCAGTTTTGAGGTATCTGAACTGTATCTTTTGAAGTAAGGAAGTACAAGTATAGGAGATATTTTTTGTCACACAGAATCCACATGTTTATTGTAAGTTGGGTTTTGATAAGTGAATATTCTCAAAAATGTATTACTGATTGATTGACAACCCTGTTATCAACTTGCTTTTTAATGTTTATGAATAAGTTTATAATTGATTTTTGACAACATTTAATTTTAATTCATTAAATGACAAGTAGCTTTTAGCTTCTTTAAAGGTTTTGTCAGATTAGTTTCTAGAAGACAAAAGTTGACTTTTAGATTTCTTATTAAAGGTGTATCATCTGCATAAGTTATAATAAAGAAACCACAGAAATTTTAAACCATTACCATATATCAGCAATAGCCATGGTCCACTGATTTCAGCGGTACTTCTGTGGTGACTGTCAAAATTTGAATTAACTTTAAATAATGTATTTTCAGAATGCTAGAAAATTTCTGGACACTGTTTAGTTTCTAAGTTGGAAACTAATATAATCCTTGATGACTAATATGATCCCTGAATAATACGACACAAATTTGTTTCAGGTAAGATTGTCTACCACAAGTATCGTTTTTCTGTTCTTTCATATCATTTTAAATATTCTTTCAAACAAAATGAAAAAAAATATTAAATTCAAACATTGACTGCTAAGAAATGGAATTTATTGTAATAAAAATTAAAAATATGTGAGAAAAAAAATTGATAATACAAATTCGTGTTTATGTTTAAAATTGTTTGATATAAACATTTTCAAATGTTCATAAAAACATTGCCAATCAAGCGTTCAGATGGACATCCGTCCTCTGCGATCTTAAATTAATTTTGTGCCTGTGATCCCCCCTACTGATGAACGAGGGGCGTTCAATAAGTAACTTGTTTCGATATGAAAAACAATGATCTGAGTTTTGTAACTTACCTTATTTTTCGACGTAATCCCCTCGAAGTTCAGCACACTTGACCCAACGTTTCTCCAGGTTCAGGATCCTTTCTCTAAAGTGATTTTCTTCAAGGCCCTTGAACTAGTCATTGGCTATCTGGATGGCTTCTTCATTGCTGACAAATTTTTGTCCAGCCAGGAAAGTTTTTAATTTTGGGAACAAATGAAAGTTCGAGGGGGCCAAATCAGGTGAATAGGGAGGATGTGGAAGCAGTTGGAAATGAAGTTCAGTGAATTTTTGCTTTGCGATATGGCTTGAATGTGCTGGGTGTTATCGTGATGGAACACTTTTCTTCTTGCCATTCCAGGACATTTATCCGCGATAGCTTCCTTGAGTTTGTCCAGAAGTGATGCATAGTATTTTCCAGTGATGGTTTTTCCCTTTTCCAAGTAGTCTATAAGAAGAATACCTTTAGCATCCCAAAAGACTGACGCCATCACCTTCCCTGCTGATGGATTGCATTTCGCCTTCTTCGGAGCCGGTTCTCCTCTTGCAATCCATTGTCTTAACTGCTGCTTATTTTTTCTCTGGAGGATAATGGTGAATCCAAGTTTCGTCCATGGTAACAAAACGACCAAAAAATCCAGTGGGTTTTGCTTGAATGGTTGCAAAAACTCGACAGATGTTCTCATGCTATTTCGTTTCATCTCTGCAGTCAGCAATCGCGGCACCCATCTTGCGCAAAGCTTATTCGTGCTCAATTCATGATGCAAAATAAAATGCACTCGGTCATTTGAGATACCTGTGGCCTCTGCTAACTCGTGCACTTTCACTCGTCTGTCTGCTAAAACAATATCATGGATTTTGTCGATGTGTTCTGGCATCAGAGTTGTTTTGGGAGCCCCAGATCTTGGGCCATCTTCGATGCTTATTCTGACTCGCTTAAATTCGTTGACTCAAAGTCTCACCGTTTCATATGAAGGGCATGAATCACTCAATGTAGGCGCTGTCCTTTCATGGATTTCTTTACCGATTTTACCTTCCATAAAAAAGAATTGGATAACACCACGAATTCCAGTTCTATCCATCTTTCACACTGACTCGCAAAGGCTTTTGTTCAAGTCGCTGTCCAACAATGAGCTAGAGTAATAATGACTTGCAACAATGAAATTTTACCGAATATTGTTGTAGCTTTAAATTAAAATTCACAGAAGTTGCTGTCATCATCTCTTAGTATGAGAACCAAGTTACTTATCGAACGACCTCCATATGTGGGAATACTTAGCCACCTATTAATTTCTTTCCAAGCTTAATTACCACTATAAGCTTTATACAAAGTGCAGAGTCTACTACAGTCAAAGCTACTGATCGCCTGTTTTCGAGTGAATCCCGTTCTGCCATTTTCTTGTCCCTGTACATTTAGTAGCCTTACCCTGAATCCTTTCCAATTTTTTTTAAACTGCATAATTTGTGCGGATCCCAATAAACTTTCATATTCCATTATCAGATGAGCCCTCTTTGACCCCTGGCACAATATGACCACAAACAAGAAAATTAAAATGGCAAACAAACATTTAAGACATCACTTGAGAGAAACACCAATTACACTACTTGGTCTTCACAGTCTCTCAAGAAACTTATTTACAAAACATGGTATCTACCTAAATCAGGTAGGCAAACAGAAACTTGGTGACAGATTAACACAAGTGTTGAGCTCTTTTCCGTCCTCGCACCCACACACCTCATCCCCACCTATCCCACCATCTACACCCACCTCCACACTACCTTCTCTATCTCCACCTACCCCCCTATCACCATCCTATCACAACAGCCACACCTGTCACTCTCATACCTGCTCCAACTTCCTTTCCTAGTCCAAATCCTCAGCCAAAGTACAACTTTCATTGAAACCATAGATCACATCCCACCTATGACCTGTAGCTACTACAATTAACAGGAAAGCCCTCAACACACAAAAACAAATATCTATATGTACGACATCAAAATTGAAATTCAGTCTTTAAGAAACAAGCTCACAGATTTAGAAATATTACTTCAACAAGACCTACAACACTTAATTATTAACACACAATATTAAGCTTTAGTTCATGCAACAACTACATAGTACTCACATTCCAGGTTTCACCCTAGCTAGTGGCTCATGTAGGGAAATAAGCAAATCACATAATGCTTATGGTTATTAATTATGTGTCAATCATAGATTACTCCTCTCTCCTAAAAGATAAAGACTTTGAAATATCTATTATAGACTTATCACAACAATGAGTATGGATTTTATGTACGTACCACAGTTCCAAAGGAAACACAAATGTTTTCTTAAAAAATCTTGAAATCATTCTTGTTAAACTTTAAAGACGCAGAAACTATAAAATTATATTATGCAGTGATTTCAATATAAACTGTGTGCCAAAATCAAATGTAGGACATTCAAAATCACATGACGGAAATGAAACTATTCAAAATTTTACTTAAACCTTTCAACTTACAGACTATTATAAATCAACCTAACAGAATATCTAAAAGCAATACCACCACTGACCAAATAATAATGGACACAAATAATTGCAGTTATTCTTCTGTTACATATAACACAGTGTTCAGTGACCATACAGTGCAAATACTCAAACTCAAAATGGGTACAAAAGTCATTAAGAAAACACTTTATAGAGAAAGCCGAAACTTCTTTCAGAAAAGCTTAGACAAATTTAACTTCAGTTCAAATAAGTTCAGAAAACTGGGAGGAGGTGTGCAAAGCAACAGATATGAATACCAAATTTAACTTATTCATAAACGTCTTCCAAAGTTATTTCAACACTGATTTTCCATGGATAACAAAAGAAATCAAAACATCACTTGAAAGGGAAAAAATCATGCATTAAACAATCCTTCACAACGAATGTAGTTTTGATTTCATTGTTTATTACAAAACTTACATAAGTATCTTTAAGAAAGTAATTAAACAGGCCAAACTATTAATGAATGATCAATGCATTGCCAATGCACAGAGCAAAACAAAATCAATGTGGAACATCACGAAAAATACTCTAAAAACAGAAACTAAGAACATTGAACTTTGCTACAAAAATAATGTTCTGCGCACCCCACAAGCAGTAGCAAACCCATTCAATCGATATTTCTCAGAAATTGGACAAAAATTAATTCACTGCAACTCTTTAAATAATATAAATATGCAGTCAAATATCCACACATCAACAAATGTAAACTCCATATATATCTGTGAAACATCTGCAGAAATACAAAACATCATACATCAGATGAACAACAAATTCTTTACAGGACTGGATAATATCCCTGACACCCTCATTAAACATACTGCAACAAACATAATAGAACTGCTCACTCACATTTTTAAGCACATCTTAGTGACAGGTATCTTCCCCGAAATTCTGAAAAAAAACGAAAGTTAAACGCAACACTCACGACCTTATAAATTACAGACCAATATTCTTACTATCTGGTTTCTCAAAAATTTAAGAAAAGCTTTTTAATTATAGACTCATACATTTTCTCAATTCAAATAGTATATTGACAGAGGCCCAATATGGATTCAGAAATGGAAGATCTACAGACACAGTTACCTTCACCTTTCTAAATGACATACTTGTTGCTCTATATCTAAAAGAAATCCCCATTGGTTTGTTTCTAGATATATCAAAAGTATTCAACATTATTGACCATCACATACTGTTATCCAAACATGAAACTTTGGGAATTAGAGGCATTGCACATCAATGGGTTAAATCTTACCTTTCAAATCGTTGTCAAGTAGTCACAATAAAATGTGTTAGAAACATTTCTACCCATTTTTCCCAACCTAGGATGATAAATTCATCATAAATAACAATAAAACTCTCTCTTTTAACTTTCAGAATACACTCTCTAAAGAAAAGCCTCCAAAACAATTGATGATAAAAAACATACCTATAAAAATAGCCCAGAAAACAACTTTCCTTGGATTGACTATTCAAGATGATCTAAAATGGAACACCCATAACACATATCTAAACAACTAGCTTACCAAGTCATGTTATGCCATATACATCCTGAAGTCAAATTTTAAATGAGAAACTTGTGCACTGTGAATGGTGTACTTTGCAAATGTTCACTCGCATCTAAAATACGGAATAATATTCTGGGGAAATTCCCCAGAAAGTATTCACACTTTCATCATCCAAATACAAATATTGAGAACAATGACAAACACTCACACACATGAATCCTGCAAACCACTGTTCAAAAATTACAAATACTACCACTCCCATGCATGTACATATTTGAAATATTAATCTTCACAAAGAAGACACTTATGGGAAGCAAGGATTCTGCTACTCTAAACACTACAAAACTATGATAACTATGATACTACACAAAAAAGAAATCTGTATGTCCTAAATAGTGAAACTTTACTGTTTCAAAAAAAGAGCCTTGTAGAAGGCAGTATATAAAACATTTCCTAGTGAATTTAAAAGCTTGATACACACATTCAAAAATGAACTGAAAGCTTTCTTGTTAAACCATACATTCTACAGTACAAAAGAATATATACGTCATAAACCAATATCTACCTAAATATCAACTAGTATTAATAATTTTTGCATTTTCTGTTGCATGTTTTAAAACTCCCCTAAACTGGTTGTTGGATATAAAGAACAGACCCAGCTCAGGCACAAATCTATGAAGACTTTTTTTTCTCCCTTTTTTCCTTTCTTTCTTTTTTTATTATTATTGTTTGTATAATTCTAGTCTTCTCACACTACTATCTATAAAATTAATTAGCATCCCATTATATTGTATTTAGTATGAGAATTAAATTGAATTTTAATTTATGTTTTGCATTTAGTTTTCAGAAACACCTGTATTGTGCATTGTATGATTACATACATATCCTGATTTCTAATACATGGTGTATGCTGTATTACTATTATTAAGCAATTTTTCTTCGCATATGCTGTACTCTTTTTTAAGATGCTCATTGCACAGTGAAGGGATCTCAAGGCTTTCCCAACAACAAAATCTACTTGACTTTTCCTGTTTTATTTACTATCGAAATGGATTCCTAGGTACATGCATGAGGAAACTCCTGGAAAAATGTCATTATTTAATTTCTCTGTAATTAAGACACCTGCAAAAAAGTGATGGATTTGCTTTTAGAGCTATTTATGGCCATTCCATTATTTGCGCCCAGTCATAGCATCAAGATCTCGTTGCAGCATTTCTTCATCTTCTTTCGAATTCATATTACGATTTATGCAATTGTCGGCAAATAACGAATCATTTGAGATTAAGTGCGCTGGCGACATTGACGAACGCTAGAAATAGAAGAGGTCCAATGACACTCCCCTGAGGTATTCCCGAGGATAACTCTTGCCCAATACGAACTTTCTGTTTACTGTCTCGCAGAAACTCGCTAATCAACATAAGACAAGGAACTGAAAGAAATGTTTGTCATATTTTGACGGAGATGTGTACAAGCTGTGTTAAATATAAGCTAACACGCAATTGCGTATGCTTCTGCTAAGGAAAGATCTTCTCTTCCATGATTTCTGAAATCCGCGATTTCCAAGAAGCGGGGTCATAAAAAGTCAAATTCGTATTTGAGATGATCTGTTTCTACGTGTAAATATCTTTAAACTTAACGAAAAAAGTACGTTAAGAAATGCGTAGTAATAATTAAAACATAAAAGAATATGAAATTACCTCGAACTGTGAAACTACATGAAGGTTTTAGTTTATTTAGAATATCTTCCTAACCTTAAAAAATATTGAATGTATCTTGTTCCTGAAAAATATGTGTATGAAAGTAAATCCGTTCGCTGCACATTAGATACTCATCCTTATTTCCTGCCACAGAATCTGTAGCGCGTCATGTTAACATTCAATCAAATCATATTCAAAGATAAAGTACTGAATAATTGATGAAAATATTCACATATCATGTGCTTAAAATTATATTCAACATAACATCATTTTCAAAGCATATAAACAAAAATGTTAATATATAAAATTGACTACGATAGCTTACCAATGATGAGCCTACCTTAAACTT